TCCAAATGTGTAGAAGAAACTACGCAAAAGGCCCCATCTATCACCGGTGTTTGTTTGTGTCCATTCTGTGTTACTGTAACAAAACTGAAACATTGAGGTGCGACATAGTGGGCTCTGTGGAAGAGGACCCACTCCTCCTGTAGACGTAGACGGCTCGTTCTCAGGTAACAAAAACAACGATTCTAATTTTCAGGTAAATTTTTCACTAATGTAAACATAATTGACTCTCGTTCAATTCATGCCAATACATTAATGCTACACACTGGTCCTTTTGAGTGGCAATCTGGCCAGTTGCATTACAACTGAGGACTGTGCACTTTATAACAAATGTTCTAAAGTTTGTTTGCCTGTGTTGGCTCTGGAAAAAGCTACGTGTCAGTTGTTTGATCTGTTTGCCTTCAGGGAGGTGAGGGTGACGAGAGCCAGGGAGGTCCAGACCAGGGCAACAGACCAGCGAGGCAGAACTACTACAGAGGCTTCCGACCAAGGTTCAGACCAAGGTTTGCATGTTGGCTTCATTGACGCAGGGCTGCAACAATGGGAGAGTAAAGCACGGAGTTGTCTGGATCATAGCCACCAACTGAAGTTTGCCTGTTTAAAATTAACTTGAAAAAAATTAGAGCCATGTGTTTTGGCCTGAGAAACTCTCCCTTTATTGCAGCCTAACCTCAAATTGCTGCTGTGCATCCAAATTTGACATATGTTAAAAAATGACTAACAGTGGCTGATGTGTGTTTTTGCATGATGTTGCCACTTCTTATTGGTTGTGTGCTTTGTGTTTGCTTATATTCTCCTTGCTTTTTGCTTGCTCACTCCAGGGGTCCACCCCGTCCCAGACCGGTGCGGGACGGTGAGGAGGACAAAGAGAATCAGGGTGGCGAAGGAGGTCAGAACCAACAGCCACGCCAGCGGCGTTCCCGCCGCAACTTTAATTACCGCCGCAGACGCCCACAGACTGGTGGCAAACCCGGCCAGGAAACCAAGGAGCCCAAGACAGGAGGTGACCCATCTGCAGAGAAAACGTCCGCTCCCGAGGCCCAGCAGGGTGGGGCTGAGTAGGAAAGAACCTGCCCACCGGCACCTACCATCTTTTACCATCGTCCGGGTGAGTCTACAGGCTTATGATGGCTGAACTGAGTCTCTTCTCATTAACTTGAGTTGCACAAATTAGTGGTTTCAGACAGAGCCACCAGTTAAGGATGACAACAGTACATAGCAGCAAACTTACAAAGTTTAACAGCTGCTTAGATTATTTTTTAACTAGGGTCAGCTAGCTTGTCGTCTGCACTTGTTCAGCTGTGTAGTGGATGATTCAAAGCATGAGGTAATGCAGTGGATTTGATAAAGCAAACTGTCTGGCACCATAGAGCCCTCCTATTGTCTCCTCCATATGAGCAGCAGCTTTGGATTATTGCTATCTGGTGATGATGCACATTTTCAGGCAACTCATGGTGCAGCATGCCACATGACTAAACCCAGTGATTGAAAAAGCAGCATGCAGATAAATAATTTGCTTTTTTTCTTCTTTTACAGTTTTTTTTGTCAACAACAAGAAGAAACATCAAACAAGATCTGAGCAATAAAGATTTGACTTGACGATCGTCACAAGCTTGCACCATGCATTTGACCAGATTACCACCGATTGCCTGCAGAATCTATGCAGACCTGTTTTTTTTCCATTATTTTTATGTGACAGCTACAAAAAGTTTTGGGGAAACAGCAAATGTTTTTCTAAATCTGTCCTAAGTTTTTACACCAAATGGTTTTTAAAGAAAAAATGGAATTTGATATCTGGTCAGTTTGACATTTTTAAATAACTTTTTATGTATTCAAACATTTTAACAAAATGCAAGCTCAAAAAATAAAATACCAGAAACCAGGAGAATTGTCTTGTCTGCTTTATTTTATTTTTCAAGTATATGGGTTTTAAAAAAATGACAAAAAAAAAAACATTGATTTTCTTCTTTCTTACATAATGTACAATTGTGTTGGAGTGTTATTTCATTTCAGATAACATATTAGACAAATATAACCTTGTATGATGCAGTGTTATTTAATCAACCACATTGAACAATGGCACAGGATGTAAAGCTGCCTTTTACCAAAACTTTGATAATTCAGTTGTCCTTTTGTTTTACACCAGCATAACAAAGAAAGCCTACACAGCATTATTTAACTGACACCAACACAATTTGATCCAACAAGAAATGTAACCAACATTTAGCACTAAATCAAGTTCCTCTTCTTGAGGTTAGGGTTAAAGCAAAGTAGCTAATAAACTTAAATGTTTTCGCATGCAACTTCTCATACTATAGTGTATGTAGACAATATAATTACATTTTGAAGCTCCTAGAGTTTAAATTAAGTCCTAGGCTGCATCTGAGGTTCATTAATTGTAATTTCTTACTTGCTAGTAAGTTTAAATTTGCATTCACACCAACAAAGAAGCAGCAGGGGTAATGCTGTATAAGTAGAGTACAATGTCTGACTATTTATTGGCTGCACATGTAGAAGGTAGACAACACCTTTATAAACAGTGGCTCTGCAACAAATATATGTTTGTTTATTCAGCCTGATGGCCATGTTTTAAAAGACTTGGTTTGGGCAGTGATAGAGAGCAACATGAACACTGGCTGGATTCACTGAATTCCTCTTAGACCACTGCGACACCAAGACAGCATTATTGGCCATTTTTTCCTGGTAAGTGTCCTTCAGTCTGTTGGTAAAGGACTTCTCAGCCACAGTTACAGTAATTAATAGTTATCCTTTGTTCAGTATGAGTCACCAGCAACGCAGTCTTAACAAAAACTGAACATTGTGAGTACCAGAAGGTGTTTCTGTTATTTTGTCCACTCTAAAGTACATTGAGAATCACTCAGACATTGGTCTCTTTGCGCAGGCGCTTCATTCGTTGCACATTGTTCTCAATGGCAGTGGGGTTGGTGATCTCTGTGGCACAGCTGGCAGGAAACCAGCCTCTCTCTCCATCTCGCATTCTCATCCCATAGCACCAGGCTGGAAAGACAGGAAGGACAGTTTAGGTTCACCGTAAGCACTCTGTAGCCTGCTTTCATATGAACTGTAACAGACGGCACACTGATTGAGCATGACGGGCTGAATTTGACGCTGTGTTACGGGTAACATTCACCTTCTTCTTTCTGCAGGACGATGACGAGCTCAGCTTGTTGCAGCCCCAACTCATCTAGCTCCTTTGGCATGTAGGCTTTGGTGGCCTCATACTGTGGCAGACCTGAAATACATTCCCATAATAAACATAAAACCAAATCGTTTATGTTTGGTACAGCATACTTTCCTGTATTTCATGTATCTGTTTTGTAGCACTGTGTACGTGGTTCATTATGTTGGCCCGCTGTTAAGAATAAAGAACGCTGCTCTGTACACGTCCCGTACCACACTGCTGAATACTGATGCATCACATTACTTCTTGGTACTTGGCATTTGCTCTGGAAAGGCACACCTTTTGATAACAGTATCAGATATCAAACAGAGATACACTCACTCTTAAAACAATAGCCATTTCACAGAGACGCTGTGAGTGCTGCCTGTTTCTTTTTTTAAATATACCATTAACAGAGTATAAAAAGATGTATTTGTATGCACAAAATGAATGCTTTAATTGAAATAAGATTAATTTAATATCCAAAAATACAGTTTGTGTTTTGATCTTATTGGCCTATAGGACACTATGGCCTAATTCACAGGAATCTGAACAACTGCTCCACATCTGTCTTGGTTTTAAATGTGTACTGTGCATGTCCAAAGCACAGTGGGCACATACTGTAGGATCACTTGGGCATCTGTTTCATATACAGTATACATGCAGGGAGAGCGGTGTTGTACCAGAAGTCAAATGTGAGTTAAGTACAAACCATGTTCGTCATATGCATTAAAGTCATAGTAACACAACTAAAGTCAGTGTTCACACAGATCAAGAAAATGTTTGAAAATAGTTAAAAAGTCTGGAAAAGAAGAGAACCTATGAATTTTATTATTATTATTCTAAATGGAAAATTACTGCGAGCCATCTGTTTTCTGCCTTCCATGACAAATGAATAATTTACACATTAACAGTAACAGAATATGTTTGTCATTAGTTGCCACTTTTAAAGATTACATGTCTGGTCTGGTCTCAGAGTTAACTCAAAGTGCATTTTAAAGAACGACTCCCTTTGTAAATAAAGCATGCTGACTTACCAGCTGTCGGAGTGGAGACTTCTGCCTGCTTGTGTTCTGTAAGAGCAACTATCCATCGCGCCCGGTCCACCCTTGGCAACAGAGACGAAACAGCACAGTTAAATATGACTCCAAACCCGATGCAGTCTAATGTACATGTGATAACACAAAAAGTCTGTTTTCTTGTAAACTGACTGAATTCAAGGGAGCATTTTAGGTTGGTATTAAGACTTCTGTCAGTAGAGGGAGCCAGACACAAAACATCAGATTGGGTCTCGAGTAGGAAAGTAGGAGATCTTAAAAATGCAAGATTTTTTGATCCATTTAATTACTAACTCAAACACTATTGTGTACTTAAAAACGAACTAAAATAAAACAAAAGCATGCAGGAAATGCCTTAGTTTTAGTATTTGTCAGTTTAGTCAAATTTGTCAACACAACTAGCATGAGGAGGCACTGGTGCATATATTATTGAGACTGGGATGACACCTATTCTGAACGTCTTAAATGTTTCCCCCGACAAAAGCTAATAAAATTAAACATTTTCAAACAATAAAAACTCAACTGAAACAAGCAAACCTACTCTGGAAACTAACTGGAACTAAACTGAACTGAAAACAAAAAATTAAACTATACTTAAAAATGTAAAACTAGAAGAACTCTGACAGATACATGTTTAAACTTTTGTGTTCAATAAAATAAGAAAAACACATTAAAAGCTTTCTACTGGCAGTATGCTTTTTTTTGGTGAAAAGTATGAAATGTGTTTTTAGTTTTGCATTATTTGCTCAGTAAATCAGTTTTAATACCGCAGAGAGGAATAGTACAAACAGAAATCAGCTACAGTGAGCTGACTAGCGTGACAACCTCCTCTATGTTCAATCAACACTGTATTTGCATTTATGTACAAACTAGTATGTGGAAGAAAGACATCAGATTATCACTAAAGTGTGCCCTTCTCTTCAGATGTACCTAATGCTACCTTGTATTATCTAAATTGTGTTTTCCTTTAAATAGAAATGTCCACTTGAGGGATGATAACTGTTATGGTATGTACAGTTCATGGCTGATGGGATTTGAGAGCTGCAGTACCTGGACTCGGCCACCAGGGAGATCTGCTCCACTCTCCCCTCACTGTTCTTGCTCATCAGCAGTTTGAAGGAAAGATAGTGGCTGGAGCTGTTCTTGGCAGGCGGAGATGTCCGTCCCTCGGCATCCTCTCCGACCTCCACCTCCACGTTCTCCAGAGTGGCGTAGTCCATCACCACAAAGCTCTCCTCACTGGACAAACAAAAACAATTCCATTAGTAGGATATTTTTTAATCTAACAATTTGTGTCCACCAGTGGAGGTGATACTGAAATGGCAATTTTTGCACATTATAGCGTAACTAAACCCAGGTTGACTTTATGTGTGTCCACTATTAACATTCCTCGACTATCTGCTAATAGCATTTCGTAGATATTAGCACGTAAAGACTGGGTGACTGTGTGGACTTTATAACCCTGAAAATGAATCCAGTGTTGTGGGCAACTCCTTTCTCTGAGCTGACATTGTTTAGTTTCTCCCTAACTCAAAACAGAAAGCTGCAGCCTGTCGAGCTGACATGTTGAATGCAAGATTGAAGAATCTCAAGTATGCACACACCACATCCATACTACTCTCCTTTCTCTGTCCCCTTCCTCTCCTCTTTTCTCTCTGTTTTTCAGGCTTCCTGCCTGCCAGCAGCTGGTCCTACTCAGTGTCAACAAGAGTCATCAGCCCATAAAGTTTATGAAATGCTTCAAAAACTAGGATATTACAGAAGGTCGAATGCATCTTAAGTGATCCCATTAGATTTAATCTTAATGACTTCAATACTAATGGAGGGTATTTATATTTTCATGAATTAAATCACAGTTACGTCTGTCAGCTTATGTTTTGTAAATACCTTTTTCCACAAAATATAATTTTAAATTTGTTCAAAACAAACTGTGTATTTTAGTCCCACTGACCTCTTCTTCTTGGTGACGATCAATACGTCATTGAAGAGAAACAGGTAGTTGCTCCTGTGGCTGAAAGCCCTCCAGATGCTGAGCTCTTCAGTGCAGATGGCCAGTTCTCCACGCTTCTTCAGCCACCGCGATGATGACACCAGAGGAAATGGCTGCGAGGACAAGAGTTATCAGTCCAGGGTAGCAAACTGGGCCAAGATGTTTTTTTCTGTACTGAATCTGCATCAGTACGTTCCATTATGATCTCGCTTACATCGATACACCAAAATTTTACCTACAAGTCAAACCCTGTAAACTTTATATTCACTGTTTTGCTCCTTGAAGGTCTTTAGTGAGCTCCTACCTTGATTCTACCAAAATCCATCTGTTTCTGGATGGTGTACATCTGCTCTGTTCTCTCCATCCGCCTAGCTCCATCATTGCAACTAGTGACCAACTGTTGAAGTAATAATGACAACAATGACATGACAATGAATGATTAACATGACCTTAAAAACTCATGGACTACACTCTCTCTTTACCTTGCTGATGGCGTGCAGCGCCCAAACAGCAGCAAAGTACTCTGCTGTCTTGTCTGGAGTTTTCTGGCAGATTGTCTGTGAGGAGAAAAGAAACATATGACTATTTATTAACTAATTTACTTCTGTAGTCAAAACTATTGTCTACACCACAGCACAAGCCAAAGCTAAATATGGAATTCCTAAATCATTAATTTTCATTTTTTTATTAATTTGTTTACTTTTAATTTACTATTCATTTTGTAAAACATGCTCATATCAACCAAAAAAATGTGTCTCTTTGATACATAAATAAGTATTTGCCTTTAAATTTTGGTCGAATAATTCTTAGAAATACATATCACAATAAAATTGTTTCATAAAGACTAAAAAAGATAATAGATACATAATGTGGTGAATGCATATTAGATCAACACTACCAGGTAACAAATAATCTTTATAAATCATTGCTGGCAATGAACTCACAGGGTAAGTTGGGGTGATTTTAGAGTGATTTGAATCAATTTCTTTGGAAATCTAAGTATTTTCAGTGGCTACGTGTCTGTCCAATAAACTACAAATAAACCCTTGAATGGCAGGGTTAACAGACATTTTGTCAGCCAGAGGTTGAGAGTCGCTCATATAAGAAAGTAAAGGTCAAACTGACATCCAGCAGCAGTGGCAGTCTGGTGACTCGCTGCATGGGAAGGATGAGGAAAGAGATCATGGGCAACCCTCCGCATTCACTGCTCCCTTCAATTTGCCTGAGAGTCTCTTTGAACGCAACGTTGCTGGTCCTAATAGATGTAAAGAAAGAGGGAAGTTCAGCTCATCCTGTCGTGTTAACTGCAGAAACTCAACAGCTTGTTACAGTTCACTGCTGCTACTCACAGCAGCTTCTGCAGTGTCCTCTGCTGGAAGGTCTCGTTGGAGCAGTAGACGATGTAGGGCTCAAAGTGGTGGGCAGCGTGGTTCTGAACAATATCGCTAATGTCCCGGATCACTGGGTTGTCATAGTGACGCCGTTCAAGGTCCTCAAAAAACCTGAAAATGGAGAGAGAGGAGGAGGTTGGTAAAGAAGTGAAAGAACTGTTTTTCCTCCCACACTCATTACCTGAGCACAATGTCCAGGTTTTATTATTCAGGATATTGGTATGTGATAACAACACCTTCAATGTACAGATGAATTTACCAGCGTTTTCATGTTACAACAAATCGTAATAAGGTTCTGTCGACTTTGTCAAAACCAAGTTGGTCTAGTATACACGCTGTATTAGAGCCTCTTTACATGAGGTGTTCCTGTTGTAACTTATGTAATGTTTGTTGTAATGTTAAGCAGTGTTTGTAACTGCTGTGCTACTAGAATAAATTATTCTGAGCTTGTAATTTCAAAAACAAAGGCCTCCTGTGAACTTCAGAACAACCCTGAAAGACTATTAATAATTCCAAGCTGTCAATATACTAAACTACTATATGTATGTAAGTTTATTTCTACTATAAGATCCATGTGATCCCTTCTGCTAAAGCTTTGTAAAGGCTTTCCATTATTTGCATTATCAAAACCATAAATGAGTTTCAGCCCCACCCTTGCTAAGTGCCTTTTTAACAAATAGGAGTAAAATGACACCAGAAAAACAGCCCAACCCAGGAATCAGCTACAAGACTCCATTCACACACAGATACTGTAAGTCAGATATGTGAAGCAGCAGCTTCTACTTTCAGGAATATCAAATATAGAAGGATATGCCCTCTCTTAAGACTGGATTTATTCTCATTCAGAATATGGTTATCAGCAATACACAGAAAGACAGGCGGTTCTCTAGTACATTATCATTTCAAAGCCCGGGAATACCACTCGGAGCAAAAAGGCAGCAGAACCTGTTTGGCTAGCGTGTTTCAACATGTCCATGGAGCCTACAGGATACTTAGGACATCCTAAGGGCAAATACTCTACCTTCAACCCATTTTCCACTTGAAACAATGTCTCTGTGGGAATACAACACAACTAGTTTAAAGCCTGCGAAGTACAGTCGATACTGTACGCCGACAAACAGTCCATTACACTGCTTTATACACTGATAACACCGTCAGATCCTTTATTACGAGGTGGTGAACCTCCCCCACAAGTAGTTTTCTAGCACCCTCTTTCACACACACACACAAACAAACAAACAAGTAAGCTGATAAGAGTGTTGTGCCCACCGTTTGCTGACTTGGTGGATGACAGAGATGTTGGAGAAGAGGTGATGGTGCTCTGTGGCCGTCATCGTTTTCCTCAGAGTGTCATTATTCTTGAAGTGACGCACTAGGATGCCCAGGCTGTGCAGGTACGAATGCTCTGATGTGATGATCTCAAAAATAGCCTGTCAAATGACCACACATACCCAGATAAGTGTGTATGTGAGAAAGCAATTCATATTTACAACATGTCCTAAATTTCCCAGAATTCCTTTTCATAGTCAGAGGAATACCCTGTACTTTCTGCATTCAACTGTGTGTTTTATGCACACACGAACAAAGCAAAGAAGTAATGAAGTTCATTAAAATTAATAAAGTACAACAGACATGTCAGACACAAAACAAAACATATGTGATGGCTTCAATGCATTCTGGTCTATTGAGGCTGTTAGTGAAGAAATCTGCATGCGTTTGCTGCATCTCCTCTATGACAAAGTTCTCCTTACATGTTCAATATTGGAGCAAAATGGTGAATGTAGGATTTTATACTGAGGTGGCACCAAAATCTGATGTTTCACTGACTCCACTGAAACTCCACATATTCCCTGTGTACTGTAGGGTTATGGTTTATTAGTTTATTATTATCCAGAACCATATAGCAACAGACACCAAAACAGGTCAAGATGGGAAGACATATCAGCAGGGGTTAATTCGTAGCCATGTTCAAACTAGTTTTTACTGTATGACCGTGAAACTATTTAGAAATGAAGGTTTTTTTTAACCTCTGCTGTTTGTGGTTAGGATCTTAGGTGAGCTATCAGGTGGTGACACACCTTCCACCCGCCTACTTCCTGTAAAGATGAAGTAGCTCAGACAAGACCAAAGGGCATTAGCTGAGTTAAATCAAGAGCACTACTTCCTGAAAATCTCTGTTTGAGCTGTGAGGCAACAGTTTTGGCTTAGATCTTAAATCTTCCTGATATAACAGCATGCACACTAGAAGGGCAGTGTCTTTAGGTCATTTAAGTTAAAAGTCAACAAAATACTTTCAAAAAGTAGCATTAGCCATGGATGGCTGCAAATCTGGAGCACTGTTTAAGCACTAAAATGAAACCTGTCAGGTGACTAAGGGTACAAAAGACCAGCACCTGGTCAGGAGAGGGACTGAGTGTGATCACACTGGCAGGGTGTGGCTTTATTCAGGGACTGCAGTGCACACAGGGTGGACCTTTGGTACTGACACAACATCAGTTGTTAGACGGCTAGTGAAGACATATTACAAAAGGGAAAATCCACCCTCAGACAGTGTTACACTTTATAGATGGCATCAGTCTGTGATGTTCAGTTGCTTTCCAGGAGTTCCTTTGTAATGATTTGTTGTTCACATTACCTTAACCTGTTTTATCTACTTCTGCTCAGTGACTTTCTTCATTTCCTAGAAAACTCTTTGACAATGAGTTTGAACTTGTTGACTGTTGTGGCTGATTGTGGAGTAGCTTTACAGTCATTTTGGTTACAGATTTATAATATTGACTGTAAACCCTGTGTTCTGAAAATAGAGGCACCTGTTTGCTAGCTAGGACTGGGCCAGGCTAGACTTAACAAAAATACTGATTTTGTATAGAAACACTAATGTAGGGGTGATGTTTTGGTTGGCTCTTGGA